TATTTGTGTTAGAGTATCTACTACAGCAAATCACCTAAAACTCATTTTCAGCCAATAGAAATTAGCTGTTAGGCTACTCACCCAATCAGATCCAACCAGCACATATTCCCACTATTCAAAAGTGTTACATGACTTGATGTACAATGCATCCATGCTTACTGTGTATTTTATATACACAGGACACTAACAACAAACTTCAACTCAAGTGCTCCAACACTTCTTGGACAGCTGTTACTGAACACACACACAATACAAGAAATAAGTCTCTGTTTGACTTAACCTACACAGGAACTCCATAATAATAGTCTTAAAATTTAGGACTCCCTTCCATAAGATGCAAAAAAAAATTCCCCTTCAGTCACCTGCCTCAAAAATAGTCAAAAAGCACCTCTTAAGTCTGACTTAGTTAATTATGTTACATCCTGGTGACCCAAATCATATTAGCATTTATACTGATTTTTACACTATCACAAATCAGTTTCAACATAAAAATTAACCAAAAATATGTTCTGCCTCAGTATTCACCAACGCAAATGTTACAACCAAATTGTTACATTTAGTTTGACTGTAATAATAATGTGGTATATTGTTATTTTTTTTGCCAACCATGGCAATCTAGTAAACCTAAATGTATAAGTATTCAGTGATTAACTTCTAATTTTAAGGCTGCCTGAAATACTCTGCATATTCTGGGACTTTATAGAAAGAAGTTTATATGTATATGTTAATTAATCCTATGCCAAGCAATTTTATAAAGATGTTTGTTTTGTTTGTTCAAACAGTTATGGGGTTCACAGAATTACCACCTTTACACTTGAACACCAACTGCCAACCTTATACAAGTGTATGGATCACCAACCTTATACAAGTGTATGGATCACCAACCTTACACAAGTGTATGGATCACCAACCTTATACAAGTGTGTGGATCACCAACCTTACACAAGTGTATGGATCACCAACCTTATACAAGTGTGTGGATCACCAACCTTACACAAGGTATGGATCACCAACCTTATTACAAGTGTGTGGATCACCAACCTTATACAAGTGTGTGGATCACCAACCTTATACAAGTGTATGGATCACCAACCTTATACAAGTGTGTGGATCACCAACCTTACACAAGTGTGTGGATCACCAACCTTACACAAGTGTGTGGATCACCAACCTTATACAAGTGTGTGGATCACCAACCTTATACAAGTGTATGGATCACCAACCTTATACAAGTGTATGGATCACCAACTTTATACAAGTGTATGGATCACCAACCTTATACAAGTGTGTGGATCACCAACCTTATACAAGTGTATGGATCACCAACCTTATACAAGTGTGTGGATCACCAACCTTATACAAGTGTATGGATCACCAACCTTATACAAGTGTATGGATCACCAACCTTACACAAGTGTGTGGATCACCAACCTTATACAAGTGTATGGATCACCTACCTTATACAAGTGTGTGGATCACCAACCTTATACAAGTGTGTGGATCACCAACCTTATACAAGTGTATGGATCACCAACCTTATACAAGTGTATGGATCACCAACCTTATACAAGTGTATGGATCACCAACCTTACACAAGTGTGTGGATCACCAACCTTATACAAGTGTATGGATCACCAACCTTATACAAGTGTATGGATCACCAACCTTACACAAGTGTATGGATCACCAACCTTACACAAGTGTGTGGATCACCAACCTTATACAAGTGTATGAATCACCAACCTTATACAAGTGTATGGATCACCAACCTTACACAAGTGTGTGGATCACCAACCTTATACAAGTGTATGGATCACCAACCTTATACAAGTGTATGGATCACCAACCTTACACAAGTGTGTGGATCACCAACCTTATACAAGTATATGGATCACCAACCTTACACAAGTGTGTGGATCACCAACCTTACACAAGTGTATGGATCACCAACCTTACACAAGTGTGTGAATCACCAGCCTTACACAAGTGTGTGGATCACCAACCTTACACAAGTGTGTGGATCACCAACCTTACACAAGTGTGTGGATCACCAACCTTACACAAGTGTGTGGATCACCACACCTTACACAAGTGTGTGGATCACCAACCTTACACAAGTGTATGGATCACCAACCTTACACAAGTGTGTGGATCACTAACCTTACACAAGTGTGTGGATCACCAACCTTACACAAGTGTGTGGATCACCAACCTTACACAAGTGTGTGGATCACCAACCTTACACAAGTGTATGGATCACCAACCTTACACAAGTGTGTGGATCACCAACCTTACACAAGTGTATGGATCACCAACCTTACACAATTGTGTGGATCACTAACCTTACACAAGTGTGTGGATCACCAACCTTACACAAGTGTGTGGATCACCAACCTTACACAAGTGTGTGGATCACCAACATTACACAAGTGTGTGGATCACCAACCTTACACAAGTGTGTGGATCACCAACCTTACACAAGTGTGTGGATCACCACCTTACACAAGTGTATGGATCACCAACCTTACACAAGTGTGTGGATCAACTAACCTTACACAAGTGTGTGGATCACCAACCTTACACAAGTGTGTGGATCACCAACCTTACACAAGTGGTGGATCACCAACCTTACACAAGTGTGTGGATCACTAACCTTACACAAGTGTGTGGATCACCAACCTTACACAAGTGTGTGGATCACCAACCTTACACAAGTGTGTGGATCACCAACCTTACACAAGTGTGTGGATCACCAACCTTACACAAGTGTATGGATCACCAACCTTACACAAGTGTGTGGATCACTAACCTTACACAAGTGTGTGGATCACCAACCTTACACAAGTGTATGGATCACCAACCTTACACAAGTGTGTGGATCACCAACCTTACACAAGTGTATGGATCACCAACCTTACACAAGTGTGTGGATCACCAACCTTACACAAGTGTGGTGGATCACCAACCTTACACAAGTGTATGGATCACCAACCTTACACAAGTGTGTGGATCACTAACCTTACACAAGTGTGTGGATCACCAACCTTACACAAGTGTGTGGATCACCAACCTTACACAAGTGTGTGGATCATAAACCTTACACAAGTGTGTGGATCACCAACCTTACACAAGTGTATGGATCACCAACCTTACACAAGTGTGTGGATCACCAACCTTACACAAGTGTGTGGATCACCAACCTTTACACAAGTGTATGGATCACCAACCTTACACAAGTGTGTGGATCACTAACCTTACACAAGTGTGTGGATCACCAACCTTACACAAGTGTATGGATCACCAACCTTACACGTGTGTGGATCACCAACCTTACACAAGTGTGTGGATCACCAACCTTACACAAGTGTGTGGATCACCAACCTTACACAAGTGTGTGGATCACCAACCTTACACAAGTGTATGGATCACCAACCTTACCAAGTGTGTGGATCACTAACCTTACACAGTGTGTGGATCACCAACCTTACACAAGTGTATGGATCACCAACCTTACACAAGTGTGTGGATCACTAACCTTACACAAGTGTGTGGATCACCAACCTTACACAAGTGTATGGATCACCAAACCTTACACAAGTGTGTGGATCACTAACCTTACACAAGTGTGTGGATCACCAACCTTACACAAGTGTGTGGATCACCAACCTTACACAAGTGTGTGGATCACTAACCTTACACAAGTGTGTGGATCACCAACCTTACACAAGTGTGTGGATCACCAACCTTACACAAGTGTGTGGATCACCAACCTTACACAAGTGTATGGATCACCAACCTTACACAAGTGTGTGGATCACCAACCTTACACAAGTGTATGGATCACCAACCTTATACAAGTGTATGGATCACCAACCTTACACAAGTGTATGGATCACTAACCTTATACAAGTGTGTGGATCACCAACCTTATACAAGTGTATGGATCACCAACCTTATACAAGTGTATGGATCACCAACCTTACACAAGTGTATGGATCACCAACCTTACACAAGTGTTTGGATCACCAACCTTATACAAGTGTATGGATCACCAACCTTACACAAGTGTATGGGTCACTAACCTTATACAAGTGTGTGGATCACCAACCTTATACAAGTGTATGGATCACCAACCTTATACAAGTATATGGATCACCAACCTTACACAAGTGTATGGATCACCAACCTTACACAAGTGTTTGGATCACCAACCTTACACAAGTGTGTGGATCACCAACCTTACACAAGTGTATGGATCACCAACCTTACACAAGTGTATGGTCACACCCTTACACAAGTGTGTGGATCACCAACCTTACACAAGTGTATGGATCACCAACCTTACACAAGTGTGTGGATCACCAACCTTACACAAGTGTATGGATCACCAACCTTACACAAGTGTATGGGTCACCACCCTTACACAAGTGTATGGATCACCAACCTTACACAAGTGTATGGGTCACCACCCTTACACAAGTGTGTGGATCACCAACCTTACACAAGTGTATGGATCACCAACCTTACACAAGTGTGTGGATCACCAACCTTACACATGTGTTTGGATCACCAACCTTACACAAGTGTGTGGATCACCAACCTTACACAAGTGTGTGGATCACCAACCTTATACAAGTGTGTGGATCACCAACCTTACACAAGTGTTTGGATCACCAACCTTACACAAGTGTGTGGATCACCAACCTTACACAAGTGTATGGATCACCAACCTTACACAAGTGTATGGGTCACTAACCTTACACAAGTGTGTGGATCACCAACCTTATACAAGTGTGAGGATCACCAACCTTACACAAGTGTTAGGATCACCAACCTTACACAAATATGTGGATCACCAACCTTACACAAGTGTATGGGTCACTAACCTTACACAAGTGTGTGGATCACCAACCTTATACAAGAGTGTGGATCACCAACCTTACACAAGTGTTTGGATCACCAACCTTACACAAGTGTGTGGATTACCAACCTTACACAAGTGTGTGGATCACCAACCTTACACAAGTGTAAGGATCACCAACATTATACAAGTGTATGAATCACCAACCTTACACAAGTGTGTGGATCACCAACCTTACACAAGTGTGTGGATCACCAACATTACACAAGTGTGTGGATCACCAATTATACACTCATGCCTGGTGCCATCATTTAGGTACACAAATATGAATTAAATACTTGCACTTATAACATACATGTACATAACACAATCAAAGGACAATTAGAAACATGTAATTCACCACAGTTTGTTTTATAGCAAACACTTTACCTAACAAAAGTAAATTAAGTGCCTTAATAATTGATAAAAAATAACTGCACAATTATAGAAATTTTTTAAACAAGTGGGAGCTGTTGTTTAGAAGCAGGTGTGTTAATACAACCCAACCTGTCACATCAACAACAGCCCTGGGACTGTCAACCCTTCACCCCCAACAAGTCCTAGGATTGTCACAACCCTTCACCCCAACATTGCTAGGATTGTCTAAACTTTTCATCTCAACAACAGTTCTAGGATTGTCCCAACCCTTTACCCCAACAACACCCCTAGAACTGTCAACCCTTCAACCCAATAATAGCCTTAGGTTGATCAGAATCCTTTAACCCAGAAATATCCCTGAGATTGTCACAACCCTCAACTCAACAACAGTCCCAGGACTGTTGCAACTCTTCAACCCAACAGCACTAGAATAGTCAAGAGTGATTCAACCTCCATAATCATTCACCCTAACAATAGCCCTAGGAATGTCATGACCTTTCACCTCAACAATAGCCCTAGGAATGTCATGGCCTTTCACCTCAACAATAGCCCTAGGAATGTCATAACTCTTCAATAATCCCAGGACTGTCACAACCCTTCACCACAACACTGACCCTGGAACCATCACAGTCCTTCAGTCCAATAATACCAACACACTGCTATAATCTGGGTATATCTGGCTAGTATTTGTTTTTATATTATGGCTAGTACTATAATGTTCATTATACAATTTTTTTTTTTATTCACATGCAGTACTGTACTCTTTACTATCTGTACTGTACTCTATATGAATTTCCAATGCCATTGTTGAACATTAAATATTAATTTAACCCATAACTTAAAATATTAAAATATAAACACAGGTATGATGACAGTATTTGTTTTAAGAGGTACGTATTGTCAAAACTTCACTAAGAAGTCGTGTAAGTCCAATTCTGACTGGACTCAGGAACAGTGACTTCTTGAACGTAGTAAATGTATGGGGGAAGTGACAAGTGAAGAGGTGCTGGAGAGCCATCTTGTGTGGCTGGTGTCAGCGTTTGGAAGGTCTGTGTTGGTATGGTTGTTGTTGTGTTGTTTCCCCCATGCGAAACAGATGTGACAATGTGAGTCTGATGAGGGTTTTGACTACCTGATCTTGATAACTGTGATACTGTTAGAGTGGGAACCATGCTGGTAGCTAGGCACTGGAGTGCCACTGGCGTTCTCAGCTGTCGTACATGTTGACTACTGATATTCTGAACACTTCTTGGTTTACTGGTTATCCCTGAACCAGTTTCATCCCTTTCAGATATCACTACATGTTCTGCTGTAGACACTGGCACACCCTGGGCTGGTGATGTAGACAGTGGATCAACTATAGGATCTTGTATTATAAAAGTTGCAGCGGGCGCTTCAGTTATACCATCTTGCAATGCATGATGCTGGTTGCTCACAGCAGGCGCTTCAGTTATACCATCTTGCAATGTATGATGCTGATTACTCACAGCAGGCGCTTCAGTTATACCATCTTGCAATGCATGATGCTGGTTACTCACATACTGATTTAAGATAACCTGGAGAGATTGATAAATTTCCTGGAGACCAACTGCCTCATGAAGTGTGTATGTAAGGCTGCGGAGAGTATCAAGCTGCCCTCGCACCATCTCTGCCAGGCAGCCAACCTCTCCATGTCCATCCTTTGATACTACATCAGTAGTAGGTAAACACCCTCGCCCTTCCAAGTCTCCTAAACTGCCTCGTTCTGACTCATCCGTGCAAAAGGTTTGCACCGCTTCCTGCAAGGTTGAGGCTTGCAAGGGCATACTATCAGACATTACATTATCAGAAACTATTTCATTCTCTCCAGATCGAGCTCTCTTTTGCTTTCTTCTTTTCCTCTGGCTGGTTTCCAAGGTAACTTGTTCACTGGAGACTTTCCGTTTAGCTGTTATTCCCATTTTCTTACCAAGATAGTAAACAAGATTAGCAATATCCTTTAAACGAGGATAATATGCCCTATCATCAGGCTGTGGAACTATCATGTCTCCAACATGCTGCATTTCCACATGACTATCCAGAATACCCTTTATAACTTTTGGAGCTGTAATTCCATCACTTATAAGCTCTTTTATCTTATTAGATATAGAAGGATGGACGCCACGTGATCTGCCTTGCAGTGGGTGGTTGTGAACCGAGCTTAAAGGCAACGTTACATGGTAAAATTCTTCCTTTTCCAAGTCTAACCCATTGCTCATATCTCTACGAAGAGCTTTCAGCATCAACTTTCGCTCTGTTAGCATAGCATGAGAGGGAACTGCATAGCCTGGGTACCTGTAAAATATAATGATTTAAAATAAAAATGAAATGAAATATTTATACATACATATTGCATAATAAATGTAAACAAAGTTGTTGTTTATTTTCCCAAATATTTATACATACATATTGCATAATAAATGTAAACAAAGTTGTTGTTTATTTTCCCACTGCCTATTAGTTAGGTATAAGACACGGTACTCCAAGCAACAAGCATGATAAATATAATTAATCTGACTACTTTCAGTGTGAATACCAACTTGAGCTTAGATAAATAATTATTATATTAATAATTAAAATAATCTTCATGAAAGTAGTGGTAGAGGAGTATGTTGCAAAGAAATTCTTGTGAAAGTAATAAGCTTCCATGAAAACTGATAATTGAGTTAAAATATTAACTCTTAAACTGTCCAAACATAGATCTTCGTTTCCACGCATAGCGCTCCAAACGTAGATCAATGTTTTATTTTTTCATTCCTTCAAATTTGGCACAATAGGCTTGAGTCGCCTAGACATGAAAGAATGGGTCTGTGCACTCAGTGTGCGCAGTATTAAAAAAAATCTGGGAGCACTTAGTACCCTGTGGGAGCACCAATTCAACTGAGCGCCAATTAGAGCAAATAGTGTGGCAAACACCGGGAATTCACCGATGCCATGTCGCATTAACGCTCCCATTTTTAAGAGGAAATTATAAATAGGTTAGATAAATACATGAGTGAGTGTGGGTGGGTGTGAGTTGGACCTGACTACTTGTGCTACTAGGTCTAATGTCATGCTCCTTCCTTCAATGGATGTGACCTGACTATGTGGGTCATTGGTCTAAGTCAGGGGGGAGGGTGACATGGCCCTGCCTTGCATGGGCCAGTAGGCCTGCTGCAGTGTTCCTTCTTTCTTATGTTCTTATGTATTTGGTAGGCTAGCCGGCTGGCTTGCTTTTGCTGTCTCACTGTCTATATCTCTATCTGTCTATATCTCTGTCTATCTATATATTTGTCTATCTATATCTCTGTCTCACATGTACACATAAGTACAGTTATTATACATAGTGTAAATTACCTAGGATAACCCAAAAATTCCAGGTAAAGATAGACAGACAGATAGACAAACATGTTTGTGTGTATCAATGAAAACAAATAGAGCCAGGGTTCCCTGAGCACCCATTTATCAAATGTCACTGAGCTGATAACAGATGTCATAACACCATTCTTCAAGGAGTTTGATATACATATACTCCAGGCAGACAGAAAGACAGATAAGCAGAGACAGACAGACAGATAAATAAACAGAGAGACAAGACATGTTTGTGTGTAACAGTGATAACAAATACAGAGAGGGTTACCTGGAGCAGTGGGCATTTATCAAATGTCACTGGGCTGTCAACAGTATAGGGATGCCTTTCATAACACCATGTTTCAAGGTATATGCCAGGGTATCTAAAGCATTACTGGGACCTATAAATACTTTGTATAAATTTCTAGACAATAGTAAATAACCCAAGCAGATGTAAATGTTCACCTGTGAATGTGATTGTGGCTATTTGAGCAATATTTCAGTACCTAATATTAGTGTCAGAACAAAGATTGGCTATGAAATAACAAGAACTATTATAAATTGTAATTATCAGAACATAAAAATATATAAATTAAAATAAAAACGAGTTGATGTTGCCATTGGGTGAGCATCCAGAGCCAACTTCACAGTCTTATATCTCGGTAAGTACTGACCCTAAAATTTTTTCTTTAATCCTATAACATGTAGAAAAATGTGCTCTTCATTTTAAAAGAATTTTTTTTTTTTTTTCAAAATATTCGGAGCGCCATGCAAGTGAACATAGATCTATGTTTGGACAGTTTAAGGGTTAAATAAGCAGAATAAATGGCTAGTTTAAAATTATACACAAAATAAGACAAAGGTGCACAAGTTGCTAATGAATAATTAACAATTTATTTATTTATTTATTTATTTATTTTGTCTTTGCAAACAGTACATTGAGAATTTGTATTTACAATAGCGGGTTGCAATGCAAAGAGAGCCTCTATTATGCCTAGGCATTATGGGCCAACTTAACATTATTGGCTTACAGACTACTTAACACTAAGGAGTATATCATAGTTGTACAGTAGGATAGTAATTATTTCATAGTTGTACAGCAGGATAGTAATTATTTCATAGTTGTACAGTAGAATATTAATTATAAATGAATCAAAATTTGTATAATACAAAGACATATTTATATTCAAAAATGCTTTTTGTGAAAACAATGATTCAATTATATTCCTGTCAACAATAGATAAAAGATTCAAAGTGATTGTTTCAGTTATGATGTGGGAGTACATAGGTGAGTAAATGTGTACTGAGTATTTAGCATTTAGTCTAGACTCTAGAGTGATTAAGTGGCTTTTGAGAAGAGTCTTAAATTGATGCAGGAGAGCATTATAGATAATGCATTACCTGTTACATGCCTGCAATTGATTTTGAGGGTTCTTCTAAGCCTTGCAGCTCAGCCTAAGGCCAGACTTCTCTGTTGACTGCCCGGTCAATCAGAATTTTACTGCCAATATTCCCCAGACCAAAAAAAAGAGAATGAAGTGAATAATGCAATAGAGATCATTTTAAGCCTTTGAGGGTCGGTCACATACAAGTACAGTGGGCCTTTGGGTAATGGTGGCATCGGCTAATGCCAAAATCCGATAGCATCGTGTTTTTGAGTCAAAATATTGGCTCGGCTAACTTTCAAGAATTCGATTAAGGGCATTCATCCCGAACATGCCCGCCTGTCTGCCTGGCCTGAGTGCCTGAGCTGGTGTGCCATTGTTTACAAGCCAGCCCGGACGATTCCACGAGTACATGAGATACATTTCGTATTATTCCAGTGTTTTTAGTGCTTGTAATTGCTAAATAAGCCACCATGGGCCCAAGGAAAGCTTCTAGTGCCAACTCTGTGGTAAAAAGGGTGAGAAATACTATCGAATTGAAGAAAGAGATAATCACAAAGTACGAAAGTGGAGTAAGTGTCTCCAAGCTGGCCAGGTTATATAACAAACCCCATTCAACCATTGTTAGTATCTTGGCCAACAAAACTGCAATCAAGGAAGCTGTTGTTGCGAAAGGTGCAAGTATGCTTACAAAACAGAGATCGCAAATACATGTACTTGAAGATGTGGAGCGACTGTTGTTGGTGTGGATAAACAAGAAACAATTATCGGGAGATAGTGTTTCTCGGTCAATAATATGTGAAAAGGCAATGCAGTTGCATTATGATTTAATTAAGAAAATGCCTGAAAATAGTGCTGATGTTGTAGAATTTAAAGCCACCAAAGGTTGATTTGAGAGATTTAAGAATCGTAGTGGCATACACAGTATTGTAAGGCATGGAGAGACTGCAAGTTCTGACAAAAAAGCGGCTGAAAAGTACATACAGGAGTTCAAGGACTATATAAAGGCTGAACAATTAAAACCCCAACAAGCATTCAATTGTGACAAAACAGGCCTGTTTTGGAAGAAAATGCCAAACAGGACCTACATTACTCAGGAGGAAAAGGCACTCCCAGGACACAAGCCTATGAAAGACAGGCTAACTCTTATGTTTTGTAGTAATGCTAGCGGGGATTGCAAAGTGAAGCCTTTACTGGTGTATCACTCTGAAACTCACAGAGTGTTCAAGAAAAACAGTGTCATCAAGACTAAATTGTGTGTGATGTGGAGAGCAAACAGTAAAGCATGGGTCACTAGGGACATTTTCCTTGACTGGTTTTATGACGTGTTTGGCCCCACTGTGCAGAAATATCTCCTGGAAAATAAACTGTTACTCAAGTGCCTCCTGCTCATCCTCACGACTTGCAAGAGCAAATTGCGGGGGAGTTGAGTTTCATCAAAGTGAAGTTTTTGCCTCCTAATACCAATCCTCTCCTCCAGCCCATGGACCAGCAGGTCATTTCAAACTTCAAAAAACTGTACACCAAAGCAGTGTTTCAAAAGTGCTTTGAAGTGACCTCAGACACTGAATTGACCCTAAGAGAGTTCTGGATAGATCACTTCAGTATCCTCAGTTGCATAAACCTTATAGGTAAGGCTTGGGAGGGAGTGACTTGCAGGACTTTGAACTCTGCTTGGAGAAAACTGTGGCCAGAATGTGTACAAAAGAGAGATTTTGAAGGGTTTGGGGCTAACCCTAAGGAGCCTATGCCAGTTGTGGAATCTATTGTGGCATTGGGGAAGTCCATGGAGTGGGAGGTTAGTGGCGACGATGTGGAAGAGTTGGTGGAGGACGACAATGAAGAGCTAACCACTACAGAACTGCAAGAGCTTCAGGTGTAACAGGAGCAGATCACAGCTCAGGAATTTGCTTCAGAAAAGGAGGAAGAGAGATGGAGGAAGTTGCCTTCGTCAAAGATTAAGGACATTTGTACAATGTGGACAAAAGTGCAAGCATTTATGGATGAACATTATCCTGACACAGCTGTTGCAAGCTGTATTGGCAACATGTACAATGACACTTGTCTCCCATTTTAGCGAAATCTTAAAGAGACGCCAGAAACAGAGCTCTCTGGACAGATACAGTGGACCATCAGCTAACGATGACATCGGCTAGCGATAAAATCAGTTAGCGATGTGTTTTAGCGTAAAAATATTGTCTCGGCCTATGATGAAAAACCTGGTTAACCCTTTCAGGGTTTCGGACGTGTGTACTAGTATGGCTTAAGCACCAGGGTTTTTGACGTACTAGTACGCCTAAATTCTAGCGCCCTCAAATCTAGCAAGAGAAAGCTGGTAGGCCTACATATGAAAGAGTGGGTCTATGTGGTCAGTGTGAGCAGTATAAAAAAAATCCTGCAGCACACAGTGCGTAATGAGAAAAAAACTTTGACCATGTTTTGGGATTAAAACAGCAACTTTGCACTGTATTTTCGTATGGTATTTATTGCTGTATTCTAGTTTTCCTGGTCTCATTTCATAGAATGGAAGACATATTACAGAAATTGAGATGATTTTGACTGGTTTTACAATGAAAAGTA